AATTTTTTTGTATTTTATATAAACTTTGATAATAACACGCATCAACAAGGATATGGAGCTAAATAAATAGTCATACCATGCTGTTGGTGATACAAAGAGGTATGACTCATAAAAAACAGTTGGATATTTTGGATAGTATTGCAGAACATAAGCTAAGACAGACCTTAGCAATTTTACTTCTAGGTATGAAGAAAGCCTTATACATATGTACTGCCAGAGAAATGTACAATGATAATCATTGAAACAGTGTTGGTAATAGTCCCATGCTAGAAATAATGCAAATAATGTAAATATTCTAAACAAATAAGATAGATACACAATGGATGTTATGTTAACACAATGGACTACTGCACAATAGTAAAAAAAAAAACAACAACCCTGCAATGTAAGTGTACCAGTATGAGTAAATCTCAAACTCTAATGCTGATTGAAAAGAAAAAGCAAATCACAAAAATATGCTATCATTCATTTTGTATAAATGTTTAAAACAGGCATTTGTTTTTAAAAAAATATTGATTCTTAGAGATAGAGAAAAGGTGAGAGAGACACACACCCACTGATTTGTTGTTCCACTTATTGATGTACGCATTAGTTGCTTCTCATGTACCCTGACCGGGGTAGCAGCTCAACCTTGGCGTACAGGACTATGCTCTACCCAACTGAGCTACCTAGCCAGGGCCAGGCTAAATTTAACAAATACATTATTGAGAGATACAGACATGTTTTTAAGATAAATGTGTGAAGAAAAAAAAAGAACTATTGAATCTAAAAATCAGGATTTTATTTTGGGAAGGTCACATATTTAAGGAAAAAGTCCAAGATATTGGCAGTATACTTGCTTAATCAGATGATCGTTAAATAGGTGATTGCTTTTCTATACTGTTCACTGTGTTAACATTTCTATTATATTTACTATTTAGAATATATGTGTACTAAAAATATATCTCTGAATGTATACTCCTTTAGACACAACGTCCTCCCTTTTGGAATCTCTTGACCAGAAATATCAACTATGTGGACAAGAAACACATAAATTTAATGATGCTACTGCTATGTTGTTTGTAATGATACACTTTAAAACACCATAATTGCTCATCAGTAAGTGAATACTTATATAAATATGCATACACTATATGATGTCTGTGCTTATTTTAAGTATCAATCCAATATCTATGCCATAATGTGCATAATACATAATAGAGAAGAAACATTTAAAAATAGGTATAAAACATGTCAGTTTTTCAAGTCAGAGTCTCTAAGAAGTTGCTTAAAATATTTATAAATAGATTTGATATAGGTCATTATTTATTCACAATTATTCTCTGCTTCCCTGCCTTTGATATGACTCACTCCAGGTAAAAGACTTCTTCAGGTCCCTGACTTGGCCATGTGTCTTTCTATGACCAGTTAAATAGAAACAGAGGTGACGTATCCCACATCTAAGCAGACATATTACATCGTGCTTCCGTGGTTTGGTTCTGCCTCTTTCTCTCACCAAAATTAGAGAACACCACAACCCACAGACAGGCTGCTCCTTCTCGTTGAGTTCTGGAATGAGAAGAACGTTAGCTCAGATAAGCAGGATCAACTCACCAGACATTCAGCCAACTAGCAAACTTCAAGTAACAAGTGCAAGAAATCAATGTCTCTAAATCTTGAGGTATTAATTAGTGTTACCTGCTACCGGAGCACATAATGACTACAACAATAAATAAAAAGATAGACAAAGATATAGATATATACCAGGCATTAAATACACACATTCAATTTTGAAGAATATTGTTTGATATTAAGATGATTATATTATGAGATTCAATTAGAAGAGGAATATTAAGGACAAAATCTTTGAGCTTCTCTAACATGTCAGTAATATACCTCATAATAAAATTCCACTTTTAGAAGCCATTTCTAATATGGTGTCCTTGAATATGGTAAACCTATTCAGCTGCCCTTCTCTTTGGGGCTGAAATATAGAGGTAAGTAAGTAAGAAGTTTTTATTATTATTTAGTGTGAAATTTTATATATATATATATATATATATATATATATTCATCAGAGATTTATCAGTGTTCCTGAAGAAATCAGCAGTATATCAAAGAAATCCTGCCCATATAGTCATGCATGTTCACACATCTTCATGTACTGCAGTCTGATCCGGGTAGAGTGATGTATCTTTTTCTTGGGTAGGGAATCAAAGGGGGGTGGTATGTGTTTGTGTGTATGAGAGAGCAGGGTGGACAGGTGTCTTAACAACATATCACCTGCTGAGTATCTCGAAAGGAATATATTTTCTCTAGATACTTTGTCCATGTATAAAATTCCTGTTTATAAGCTAAAATCCAGGATAAATTGTAGTCATTCTCTTTATCTTACTCTGGTCACACTTAACTAAATGACCACTGGCCCTTTGAAAGTGGCAAAACACTTAATGTGTACATAATATTCATAAGTAATATACTAAGTACATTGTATTATTTTGGTAATTTGTGTATCATCTCATCCTATTAACTAGTTTCCAGAAACATGGGAACCCTTCTTATGTGGTTTTTGATGATCTCAACAGCTTGCACTAGTAGACTTTCAATATGCATTTAACATGCTAAAAAAAGCTAAGCACTTGCAAATTACATCATCTTCATTGCTCCCATTAAGTAATCTAAATATTTACCCACTATGCTTTGTTTTCTTTTCCCAAAGTTATTTGGAAACTTGCAGTATGACTGGTGAGATAATCAACATGTTTCTGTAATCAATCAATATAAATCAAACAAAAATAAATTGGCATATTTGAACAAAATGCACACGTATTGTTTAAAGAACTATATGAAAAATAGAGAACATCCTTTTTTTCACATTTTCACATTTGTGACTTCCCTGTAGTATGAGCAGATAGATAGAAGTTGTTGAGATTCAGCAAAGTGTAAAACAAAAACCAAAGTTCTATATTCATAATGAATAATAAGAGCATATCTATTTTAATTTCCCTATAATTTATTTTCTCTGAAACGCATAAATGTTAGCTGTAGCAGATGATTTGCTAGTCTAATGCCAAGGTGCCCTGCATATGTAGAGCAGCAAGTACTGACTTCCTATCCTCTGAGTAGTCAAAGAAAGCCCCATCCTCCCCCTTGTCTGAGAAACTCTCAGATCCCAAACAGCTTCTGTCTTCCTCCAGAGAGAGCAATACATTTGCATAAAACAGCAAGGGATATCTGCACTCCTAGGAGACATACATAATAAACTCTTATAAAATGTCTGCCCGATGCTCATATATTCCTGATTTTGATATAAGCAGGACTGTATGTAACTAAGTTTAATGATCTGGAGAATATGACTTGACCGTAGTTTGATTTCATTTTTCTGTGTGTAACATAAAATATGTAGTTTATTGATTAATGAAAAAGTCATTATAGGGATGCTTACTAATGGCAGTTTGACGACTACAGAGGGACCTAAAAGTATGTAGAGAAAAATTGGTAATGCAATTTAATACAACCAAGATCTATTACTTTTAACTATACATGCACAGTAAGGATTAGAAAAGATATACAGCCTTCTTTCTGTTTTTTAAGAACTAATGATCTTACTCCCAAGGTACAGATTTATTTATGAATCTCTCTCTATGATCCTCCTTTGAAGGCCTGGAATCTTCAAAACTAGTGTTTCTTTCTCATTTCCTTCCTTCTTTCCTTGCTTCCTTCCCTCCCTTTTTTTTCTTTCCTTCCTTCTTTCTTCCTCCTTTCTTTTTAGTTTTCAATTCATTTCAAACATATACTGTTTTGAAATACAAAAAATAAATTACCTGGAAAAAATAAAATGAAAAGATATATTATAATTTACAATGTCAAATTTTATTATTCATTTCCAAAGGATAAAATTATACTTAAATATAATCACAACAAACATAATCTTGGAAAAATGGCAAGTAATCCAAGAACAATATATGTTGTTCACTCATAGGTATTTAATACACATCTGTGCTGTCCAATACAGCTTTGTAAACTGACAGAATTTTTTTTTCTATTTTGTCTGTCCAGAAGACATTAGCCACATGTGATTATTGACTACTTAAATTATTACTAGTATGACTGAGAAACTAATTTTTTAATTTAATTTTAATTAATGTATTAAATTACTTCGGTTAATGTGGCTAGAAGCTAACAGAATACTCACTCTTACACATGTAACTATTTTACCATTCTTCAACTCTGACCAAATACTTATGAGCAAAACAGTTACTCCCTTTTTAAATATTTTCATGTATTCTTTGTATAAACACAGGATATGTTGATACTTGAAATTATAATGTGCCATATGAAATGATTTACTTATTTAATCCTGGTTGGATTAATAGTGATGTTATTAGTGGCAAATAATATATATCTAAATCATTTTATTGTTCGATAATCTCATGTTAATCACCATGTTGTATCACCAAAATGTAATGAAAGAAATGAATACCTTTTGAAGCAATTTAATAAACTCAAGATATTCATTTTTAAATTTTACCTACAATAAGGCAATTAATGCTGTATATTAAATATATTTTCTGTCTTTTAGCAGTAGTCTCATCCCACAATTTATCCCTATAAAGAGGAGTTTCAATTTTTCACTGTCATTCAGAAGCCTTTTTTCCTTGTCAAGTTCAGATTTAATAATCTGTCAGTATAAACAATACCTCTCAAAAAGCCTCACCTGCATTTCTTGTCTGTTACTCAAATGAAATTAAAGAAAAATATAATACAGATATCCAGTTTTCCCAATATTATTTGGGGAGAGACCATTTCCCCACTGTGTTTTCTTGGATCCCTTGTCACAGATCAGTAGCCTGTGTAACCTTGGGTTTATTTCTGGCTCTATCCTCTTCCATTGGGTTATATGTCTGTCTAAATATCAGTAACATACTCTTTAAATTATTATAGCCTTGTAATATGTTTAGAAATCAGGAAATATAATGCCTCCAACTTTGTTTTAATTTGTCATTTGCTTTGGCTATTCTGTGTTTTTTGTTATTCCATATGAACTTATTTATTTCTGAAAAAGAAATGTCACTGGATCTCCTTAGGACCTCAGGTTGACCTCAGAGTAGCCACTCCTTCCTTGAGGGGTGCAATAGACCCAGTGGAAAATCATGTCATTGGAATTTTGATGGATAGGATTAAATCTGTAGATCCCTTTGTGTAGCACAGACATTTTAATATTAAGCCATGCAATTCACAAATATGGCACGTATTTTTACTATTTGTGTCTTTAATTTTTCATCAGTGTATTATAATTTTTAGTGCATAAGTATTCAGCTCCTTGGTTAAATTCCTAAGAATTTATTAGGAATTCTTATTCCTAAGAATTTTATTCTTTTGATGCTCTTTTAAAAGGCATTGTTTTCTTAATTTCCCTTTTGAGTAGTTGTTAGTGTATAGACACACACCTGATTTTTGTGTGTTGATTTTGTGTCATGAAACTTTACTGAATTGGTTTATTCTAACAGGTTTTGGGGAATAGATAGATTAGCTAGATATAGATATAGATATAGATATAGGTATAGATGTATATGGTTATTTCACCTGAAAACAAAGACAGTTTTACTTGTTTCTTTCTGATTTGGGTGCCTTTTATTTATCTTGCTTACCTAATGGTTTTGGCCAGCACTTCCAGTACACTTATGAAGACAAGTGGCAAGAATGGTTATCCTTGTTTTGTTCCTGATCTCAGGAGAAAACTTTCAATTTTTTTACTATTGAGTATGATGCTGTGTGTTTATAATATACAGCCTTTATTATGTGAATGTGCATTCCTTCTAAAAATAATTTGTTGAGTGTTTTTATCACAAAATGTATTAAGTTTTGTCCAATGATTTTTATACCTCTATTGAGAAGATCCTGTAATTCTTATCCTTCATTCTGTTAATAAAGTGTATCATATTTCTTGATTTGTGGGTGCTGAATCATCTTTGCATTCAAAGAATTAATCCCATTTGGTCAACTGGATCCTTATTTTCCACTGTACACAAAAATTAACAAAAAATATATTAAAGACAAACTTTAGCCCTAAATTGTAAAACTAGTGGAAACCATAGGAGGAAAGTTTCATTATAATATTCTTTTTTTAAAGAAAAGATATTATTTATTTATTTCTAGAGAGAGGAAGGAAGGGAGAAAGAGAGGGAGAGAAACATCAATGTGAGAGAGAAACATGAACTGGTTTCCTCTTGGAGGCGCCCCTACCAGGAACAGAATTGATCAGGAATTAAACTGGTGGCATTTTGCTTTTTGGGACAACACCCAACCAACTGTACCACACTGGTCAGGGCATAGGAATGCTTCATGATACTAACCTTGGTAATAATTTCATAGCTAAAACATCAAATGTACAGTTAACTCCTACTTTTACCATTTTTTATCATTATTTTGTTGATAATATGTATATTTTCTTTAAGGTAAGTGAAATATAACAGCAAGATGACTTGGGTCTTCAACTTTACCTCGATAGTACATGTGCCCTGGGTGGTGTAGCTCAGTACATTGAGCACAGGCCTATGAACCAAAGGGTCACTGGTTCGATTCCCAGTCAGAGGACATGCCTGGGTTGTGAGCCAGGTCCCCGGCAGAGGGCATGTGAAAGGCAAGCACACATTCTCTCCCTATCTTTTTCCTCCCCTTCCTCTCTCTCTGAAAATAAATAAATAAATAATCTAAAACAAAAGAAGTTAAAAAAAATAGTATATTCAAGGAGGAAACCCTGAATGTGATTGCATAACTTAGTGGATAAAATGGCCTCGAATCAAAGCACAGAAAAGGTTTGTTTTGTCTACATTTATTCTCAAGCAACACCCGATCCATAAAAATTAAGGGAAAGCTGAGTCCACTTCCACTTTCTTAAACTAGAAGAGATCAGAATGGAGATAAAGTTGGCTCCAAATCCCATGTACATTAGACACATGTGGGAAAACATGTGTGTGTGTGTGTGTGTGTGTGTAAAACACAGAACAAAAAGTTGCCTGTTATAGTTCATTGTAGAGGAATCAAATGAAGAGAATATATTCATTTCCACTTGATATTCAACCTCTTAGAAACCTGGACATATATAGGATTTATCTTGGCTCATGATTGCCCTTGAATCTTAGGAATCCAGATCAGCATAGGCTAGCACAGCCCTTCCTTCAGCACTGAGCAGGGGCTCAATAGAAACTGAGCATAATAGGAACTGAGCAAAAGGTTCTGAACATCTCTTAGCCAAGAAGTTCTTTCAACACCTAATAGTCTCCCCTCAAAAACAAGGGGAAAAATTTATCTCAGCAAGCTATAATTGATGCTAGTCGACTCCTAACCAAGTTAAAAAAAAATGAGGAAAACCTAGGATGGAATATCTCATACTGAACAAATCTGAGCTACATGCACATGGCTAGGTGTATTGTTGCATCTTTCTGTGTGTCATTAGTTCTAATCATAGAACACACTATTTCATTTGGTATTATGTGCAGTTTTTGTAGGGGACTAGTTTTGCTGCGCCTCCCCATTGATGTTTCAAGTCTCCACATAGACCATCTAGCTGAGCTGTAATCAAAGCCGACATGAGCCTTGGCAGGGCATGAGAACATAGGAGGTTATTGAGGAGCTGCTGCAATGTCATTGCTCTCTCACTTCCCCTCTCTTCCCAGACAGCTGTCAGGACAGTTTCTTATCACCTCCGGAGTTCTGATGAGGCGTGAGACTTTCTGTCTCACCCACCTTAAGGCACAGCTGCAGGCTATAAAACTGCTGAGCTGCAGCACAGAATCGGTTTCGCAATGATAAAGGTCCAGCTGGGTGTGCTTCACTGTCCTGTCATCAGGCCCCTTTTGTTTCAGTGCCATCCTGTAGCAGAAGGGAAATGGCAGGGAGCTACCATCTTAGCTCATGTTGGTTAACTTGACTGTATAAGTAACAAACTGGACCCAACAAGGAATCATTGTGTTCTTATTGGCCAAATGTCAGTCTTATATGACAACATGTTGTTGCTCACTAGCAAATTAATTATTCTAACATTAGTAACTTTCATACTTATTAGAAGTTAGAGATGACTCATAGTGTTACTGTAAAACAGTCAGAGCTCTGGAGAGCCTCCCCCACTGGCCAAGATGGAAGCAGGATGAGGTTCTTATACTGAGGATGCCAAGAGCTAGCAAGATAATTAGATGGAGAAAAATAAAAAACATCTCCCCCCTCCTCTGGCACCAGATTTGGGGTGGGACCGAAGGAAAGCAGGCACATGTGTTATAGAAGTCAACATGGCACAGGGAGAGGTGCTGGAACAAAAAGGCCTGTCAGTGTAGCCTGGGGAAAAAGGGACTGGTTTGGAGGTGGACCCACCTGACACACATGAAAATTTGGGAAATTGCATTTTGATACAACCCTCACCCAAACTAATATAATCCCAGGAGGAAAAGGACCTCGCTCTCTCTCTTTCTTGTGCACTCACACAGTGCACTCTCTTGTTATCTCCAAGGCTATGTGGCCTTAGGAGTCACATGGCCCACGGTCTCCAGGATGAAGCCTGTCTCTTTCTTGTCCATGTGGTGTGTTTATATGCTTGCTCTCTTGCCTAGGAGCTTGTGACCATGTGGCTCTAGTAGCTGCATGGCTAATGGCCACGCAGGCTCCATAGGAAGACTCCAGGAGGGAGCCTGAAAGGGACAGCAGCCAGGAACATGCTAAGCTACCCGGATAGGGACTAAAACCATTTAGCAGCTGCCTGAAGGCTCCAAAGAAATGTACGTTAAAATGAAGCAGGAACTCTGAACATGCGCTTCTGCTTAGCCTTGCTGAGGACAGTTGGACTTTTTTCCATACCAGAAGGAGGAGATGGTCTTTGAGATGGGAATCTGTCCTTCTCCCAGGTCGCACAGCACTTGAATAAAACCTGTTTTGTTTTTGTTGTTGTTGTTGTTGTTTGTTTTTATTTTCTGCATCTGTCTTATGAGTTTGCCTTTTGTGGTGACAGGCAGGCAAACTCTCATTTTGTTTGATTACAATATGCCCCAAATATTCTATAAAATATTTTTAAATTTATGTCTTCTTAAGTACAACATTATTTTTTCTTTCTTATAATTACAAATATAAAACAGGATCACTAGTCTCATAAATCTGTCAAAATATCTAAGATAAAAGGTTTTGCATATCATGAGGTTTAAAATCATACCAGACAATATTATCAGAATCAAATGCTGGCTGTAGATGGTAATGTAGACGCCCCCATAGCAGTTACCAAACTGCTATCTCCCTACCAGTTCATACTGACCCTCTAGTTTACATTTATTTGCAGGCTTCGTGACATGGAAAAAAAGCACATAACTGAAAATTTGCATCAATTAAAAAAACTGCTCAATTTAATTTTCATTTTTTTGTATAATTAAGAAAACTAAAAAGATGCTCAAACATGGTCTTTTTAATGTCCCATCAACATAAAAAATAGCTTTTCAAATACAAAATTATATGCTGACACTATCATTAATGTAGTACTTAAAAACCTGCAATTAAACATGTCATACTATGAGATTATATTAGATGGGTCCTATCGTGTCCTGAACTGCACAGATTAGATTTACAGATAGTACTATTTCCTTGAAATTCAAACTTCACATGTTGTTATTTGTAAAATTTGAAAAGTAAAAAGAAATGTTCCCAATGTTAATTTTATGCAAAGCAATCAAAACAGAGAATTTTTATTGGTATTCTCTTAATATTCATTATGCTGGTAACTAGCAACATCCTCTACATTAAGCAGGTATGAAGAGAGAGTAAACATGCTATGCATTTCAGATGGAGGAGCTAGTTAAAATATTACTTGAAGTCTAAAGGAGAACGCAGAGAAAGATAAGGTAACTCAAATATTAAAGTCTGCAGGAAGTCATTATCAACTTTAAAGAAAAAACAGACGATGTTAACATAGCATGTAACTGAACGTGTTGCTCATACTACTGCAGATGGCTGCTGCTGTTTAGTCTATGTTTGAACTGCTGGTATTGGGGGCACCTGTACCCTCCACAAGCCATTTTCAGTCACTGTTTGCTGTCTTGGAGAGAATCACTGAAGGCCTCTGGAGACTCAGCAACCTGTTTTTGCCAGCAACTGTGTAAGAGG